CCCTTTCCCATCCCCATCAAATGAGAGATGTCATGCCATCGAGGTTGGAGACTGACTCATCTGTACTCTCATAGATTGGACACTGTTCAGTATCTTCTTCTGGTGTCCAGCCAAAGTCACCCCTATTCTCAGGAGATCTCTGAAAAAAAAAAAAGCCAACAGACAGTTCAGTTCACTTTAGATGTCTTCTATTGTGTACTCCTTGATAAGTGTCAGGAATACTTGTCCTAGATGTGTTATTTTGTTCTTTCATGTCACTAGTGGAATAGCAATATAAACGGTTTCCATCCTAATCTAAAACAATGAACCTGAATTTGCCGTCTGATAAACAAAGAAGATATAAGTGTCACTGAAGATGGGCATGGATAAATCATAATGGACAAAAAGAGTGACCTGAATGTTTGCTCTGAATTCAAACCAAACCTATCTTGAAGTTCAAAAGAAGTTCGTTCAGCTGTGCTTGTTTCTCTTCAACTTTCTTGCAGTTCTCCATTCTCTGATTTGGCTTGAAATAGCCGCTCCCCAAAGAAAGGCTCTTCTTATATTGTTTCTGATCCCACCTCAACCAAGAAACAATGAAAACCGCAAGGGACTGCTAGATTCTTACTCCCATGGAAGTCAATTAGTCTGTCTTCGGTAGGGATAGGATCAGCATCTAGGTGAAAGAACAGTGTGCTCTACTTACTCTGATGTCATCTGGGCAACGAGCTGGAGGGAGGTGAAGCCAGCAGTCAGGAAGTTGTCTCTGTACTGGCTCATTTTAATGGCGCTTAACCAATCTTCTACTGAGGTAAAGGCAGTGAAATCTGGGATGGAGCGGTCTAGCAGTGGCTGAGAAGGCCTGGAACACACATGAAAGGAGCCGAGGTCAGGCAGCATCAGCACTGACTGGAAACACAAGGTTAATGGATGCTGTAGACCAAAAACAAGGCCAAAACCAGCCATCTAGTAAATAGAAATGGGGAAACACTGGCCTGCCACCCTTTAAAATAGCACAGTATACTGATCAAGGTACACAATAAAACCTACCATATAAACAGTATTAAAAATACAGCCAGCCTGTGACTAGTAACTGCACTTGTTTTATGTCTATTAAAAATGCACTTACACCAGGGCCCAGCATAGGTTCACAATCATAACAAAAATCCCTCTATTTTAGACCACTGCCAAAAATCTGACATGCAAAGTTTTTGCCTATCCCCCTCCTTCACCCAAGACCCCAAGAAGACAGAGAGACATGTAAATGGGATCTGACCAGCACTGATGAGAATGCATTGGCTAGAGTGGCCACTAGCTTCTACAGTGCCTGGTGCATGGGTGGACTACAAATCCTTTAATAGTACAGTGGTATCAGAGCAATCTTGACAGGTCCTCCGAGATACTTTGTAACATTAAACAAAAGCTTCAGTCTTTAGAAGCTGCTAAAAGTGGCCCCTGGATGTTAATCTATGATAAAGGTAGGATTTTGGAAGCTTTACAACACACCTGTCTAAACATCTGTTTCAATGAGTCAATGGGAATAAAAGCCTTTCATGAAGGGGGCAGAAATGTACCTTGGGACTGCTGGCTCGTTATACCATCCTACAGTATCTTATCGTTACTATACCTGAGTACTGCAGCTTCAGTTTATCCTGCATCTAGCAAATTTATGAACAGCTATTTGCCCTCTACCATGTTTTTAATATAAAACACATCCACCCTTTAATAGTCACTGGGTGCATCTAAACCTCTGCATTTATTGTGCAATAACCAAAATTATCACGAAGTATGGGCACGCATGTACATGTGCATACCTGTACTACGCAGTCAATACAGTGATTTGTGCCAACTTGAGCATAAATTTGATATCTGCATCATGCAGGTATCAAATTTACACCCGGTTAGTTACTGAGCAGTAATGCATGTGTAGATGCCTCACTGCGCAGTAACACTGTGTGTGTGGACTGACTTGGGACTAATTTTAGACCCAAGTCTGTCCACACACATTGTTAATGTGTTTTAATGCCTGCATGTGTAGACATCGGCCTATTCCTGCTTACTGCACAGTAACTTATTGTGCAGTAAATTTAAGCTGGCATAAATGCGCATGTAGACATGCCCACTGTTCAGCAGTGTTTGCGCGTCTTTGTACGCCTTACTGTCTGACAAATGGCTGTTACCTGCACAATGTCCTTACTTGCATGAGTCACTGGCGTCTTCACTGTCTCTCGTTATTCTAATGTTTAAAGGGTTCCATTGATCCACGTGGAGAGCAGAAACCATGCTGCATGGCTTTATCAAGGAGCCCCCACACAGGCCAAAAACTGCTTATCAATTTATTCGGCTGGTAGTGACGTATAGCAAATATGTGTGCAGAAATCTTGATGGATTTGTGAGTGATTGGTGAACAGAAAATGAAAAGCAGTGCTCAATGGATAATTTATTTCCAATTAACAACCAGTGATGCTAAGTTAATGAATTCCCAAACTCCAAAAATGAATTCTCCATAGGATTTCCCATTGCCTGTACAGTGCCTCAGTGCTTTGAGACTCACACAGCGGTGATGGTAGCCACAGTTTTGAGGCTTGCCGGGTTGCGGATCATTTTATCGAGGGTGTTGACTATTTCAGTGAAGCGGGGTCGGGTGTTGCGGTCTTTTTGCCAGCAGTCTAGCATAAGCTGGTGCAATGCAGCTGGGCAGTCCATAGGAGGTGGTAGCCGGTAATCTTGCTCAATTGCATTGATTACCTGCAGGAAGAATAAATGAGAAAAACAAGCGACACCTAGAGGGAGAGAGTTCAGAGGGCTCTTGACAGGACAAAGACCCAAACCATCCCCTATCTCATTTGTCATAACACTAATGGCAAGAGTTCCCAAATCTGCTGGGCCAAATTTCCTGGTGGTGCCAGTGGTTGCATTGCTACTGATTTCATTAGAGCTCCAGCTGTTTTACATTAGCAGTGATCTGGTCCCATGCCACAGCAAAGAGAAGTGTGTTCAAGGAGCAAGGTCTTCAGAGAAAGGTGGCTCCCCACAGTGCCCTGGCATATCTGCTACAGCTGCCTGTGCTGGCATGAATACCCTAAACACAAGAGAATATAGGGAAGGAATTGTCTCTGCCATCTCCTCTGGCAGAAGCAGAATCAGCGTGAGAAGTGAACATACTATGTACGCTAATGATGTGGGCCCAGGAAAGTTAAAACCAGCCCACGTGACTGCTAGCAAAGGGAGCAGAGGAGGTGTTCCTCGCTCTAATGGAACCAGGGCACTGAGAGGTTAATTTGAGCTCAGATGCTTCAGGAGCATTGTATCTCCTCTCTGTGGAGAGCTGCCACTCTCATTATCTCTGCCGATAGCATCGAAGTACAGTAGTTGAACTACGAATTCTTTCTCCCTGGCTCACAAAACCTCTGAATGTTTTCAAAGGCCTTCCAGGTTCCTGAAGTCCAATTACTAGCCTGCTGGCTTTTCTTCCCAATTTCTCTTCTTCGAGCCTTTCATTTGGAAGGTCTTTTTCATCTTGAAAACCGGCTAGTGCTACAGAGGTTCCAAATAGCGGAGGCTGAGTCTGGAGTAGCTGGGAGCTCACACCTGACAGCTAGAGTCTCTGTACTAGTCTCTGCACTGCTGTCTGGAGAGGCATTTCAGCCACGTGTAAAGCTTCTTTTCAAAACTGCCAGGGTTAGCAATGGGGATATCTCAAGCAGTGAACGGATGTCTCATTTGACCTAAGACTGGCTGCCCTGAGGCTTCAGTCAGGTCAAAACAGTGACACCACCATTTCCACACATTGCCCTTCCAAAGTATTTCTGCACCCTTGCTAGCAGGTGGTGGCTGAGAGCACACAGCCTAACAGGCTTATCCCTGGAATGGACTGCAACAACCGTACACATGTACAACACAAAGTCCCGGAGAAACAATGTTAGTACATTTTATCTGACATACTTCAGAGGGGCTTGAAGCAGGACAGTGGATGTGTACACTTGGATGATCCCAGGATAAAAGGCTTTGTTCTAGGACAAATGCGATGTCTGTTCACAGCCTAGGTGAACACCTCATACACTTAGGTTCAGGGGCTGCATACTGTTTCACCTTCACATAGCTTTAACTCATAGCCAGAAACATGTTCTATTCCCCCGTTCTATTTCCCCTCCATTCCTCTCCTGCCCTTCCCTGCCAAAAAAACCCCATGGGGTATGGAGTTTATGGGCTCTGAGAAGAAAATAAGAAACAAAAAACAAACCCCTGATCTCCTCCCCAACTCTCTTCTAGCTGCTGAATAGTGAAGAGAAAAAACTTCCTCTCCCGCATCTTCTGGCGCTACAAATGGAAAGGTCTTGGCTATGGACTGATCCAAGCTGGCTACACATAGGCCAGATGTGCACTGGTTCCATCCCAGCTGGAGCTGAGTGGGCTGTGTCATTCTTGAAGATGATTCCTACTGGGAGAGGCTGGCAATGGCATGAAGTAGCAACTCTTTCCCTAGCCCCAGATACAGAAACACACAAGGACAGTTACTTTTCCTTGAGCCTGGAGCTCAGAACACTCACATCTTGGTTGGACATGTCCCAGTACGGCCTCTCTCCAAATGACATCACTTCCCACATGACGATGCCATAACTCCACACGTCGCTGGCAGAGGTGAACTTGCGGTAGGCAATGGCCTCTGGGGCTGTCCACCTTACTGGGATCTTCCCACCCTTGGGAACAAGGAAAAGTAGGTTAAGCACTGGAACGTCTAACATCCCTTGGGCTACAAGTAATCAGGAATTATCCAGATCTGCTGCTACTCCTCTCTCCATCTATAAAGCAACTGTCCACACCTCTTTGTGCTATATAATAATTGAATATATAAAGCGGAAGTAAAATACTAACTTAAAGCAGCATGACTGGCTCTATTAATGATTTTTTTTAAGTCTACATCCATAACCAAAGGCCATTCCAAGTCCATCAGACCAGGATTGCTATGAGCTCTATCTGGACACCTTTGACTCTCCAGCCTGAATGACCAGGTACCTATTTACAGATGGAGGCAGCATGAGTTCAAAGCAGTGCTCAAACTCACACCTCTGGAGTTGTAGTAAGAAGCCTTATCCACACCCAACACAAGTATAATAAAGGAACACAAGTAAGAGCCCCCTTTTCACCACCATTAAACCTTCACTCCTACCTGTGAAGTCAAAACCCAAGACAATAGGCAGCTCCATAGCATGTCCTTACAGCTAACACATACATCCATTTGGTGGATGTAGGCAGGTAAAGCATCCTAGAGTAAGAGGGACTTCCACCATACAACAAGCTCCCTCTCATTTCCAGCAAGGGAGTTCCCCAGTTTGAGAGGCTCAGTGTTCACGGTAGCATGGCCTACAGAGAAGGGCCTTCTCTGAGACAACCAGCTTCCAAACTGTAGAACTGAACAGGTCCCAGTCAGCACTCCTAAGATGAAGCTCTGAAGCACTCCTGTCATGTGCTCTCTCTGCAAAATCTCATGACAAGCAGGTTGCCTATCATGCAGCAACTTCAGCTTCTAACTAGATTTGAGCTGTCACCCTGCTACACTGCAGCCCTGGACACTGTCTACCAGGTGTAGCTTGGGGGTGGAACACCACCTAAACATAAGGTCAGATGCTAAAAGCACCGCTCCTTCACCTCCCTCTTTCATTAGCTGCCAACCTTACATTCCGCAGCATGACACAGATTGCAGTTTAGTGATACACTAAGTGTCTGTGTGAGGTGAAGCCAATGGAATCGAAGCTAAATATCTTGTTCCCGTGCATTTAAGGTAGTATTCCTGCTTCATCTGCTTTGCCCGGTATAACAGGGATCTACTCCACCTGAGCCATAGCAGCTGATTCCACCTCCCAGTTCTACCTGTGTCTCTAGTATATGGCAACATCGTTCCACTCCCATGCCCCTTCAGTGGCTGCCAAAGGGATGAAGGTGCCTCAGGGTGATGCCCAAATAAGGACCTGCAGGGCAGGCTGGGAAAAGTTTGCCTGAAAGACAATATAACACCCAGAGCCAAATATAGAGCCAAGAGCCCCAACCAGGTCCTGAAAATAGCCCCTCACTAAGATGACTGCTGCTACTGATTACAAGGAATGTGCATGTGTGTCTGAAAGCAGAGGGAGGGAGTGGGGAGGGAAGGAATTGGTCAATATTTATGGAGCACATTGTAGAAAATAATTGACAACAAGTACACATACAGATGGCAGCCAGATTCAATATTTACCATGCTGTTGTCTTCTCTAAGGATTGAAAATTAGAAAGTGTCAATACAATTATTTGTTAAACGGGAATGCAGGTGAAGAGGACTAAGAAGGCCACATCCGTCTGAAAAGAATTCCTTTAATTTGTCTCCATCTTATTCTTTTCCTTTAGCTGTATGGATTCCTTCTCAGATATTCTATTATAATTTTATAGCCAGGAAGGTCTAGTCACATAAAAATATCAGCTAGAATTTATATAGTAATATTTTCATCCCACAAGATCCCTGTGTGCTGCACAGTTCAAATAACAGACCAAGACATCAATTATACACAAGCCTTGCTTTATTCACTACTGTAATGCACTCACCTGTCGCACTGCACTTAGTAATGAAGCCTATATGTTGGAAGGACAGGAAATGAGGGATCCAATGATAGCAAAAGGCATTACGGTCAGAATGCAAGTACTTGATCTGGAGTTGGGCTAGCAAGTTAGGTTATCACCCCTTATCTTACATGAGCACTCTAACATTTTTCAGAACCTTGTCTGAACAACGTCAGCTTCAGCAGCCCCATGTCCTTTAGCAGGCATTGCTTTCAAAATGATTCAGGACTTTCTACTGTCTATCACAATTAGTAATAGACAAGTAGATTCTCACCTTATAGACAAACCAAAGTAGATATACATTTGTAGCACAAGCTTTCATCAGCTGAAGCTCACTTTATCACATGCTGTGAGCTTCAGCTCACAAAAGCTTTTGCTATATATACATATCTACTTTGATATTTGTATAAGATGAAAATCTACCCTGCCTTCTACTTGACTTCATACTAACATGGCAAAATACATCTCTTTACAATGAAGACCAGTGAATTATGATGGTATAAGTGAGATCAGAATGAAATTCTCAGAGTAAAGCAGATATCTCATGAATTATCCTCCCATTTCTATTTCTGAGAGGTCGTCCATGAGAGTCTTGAGTCAGCCTGACCCTACTTATCTCATGGGATCCAAGACCATCACAACCTCAAGAGAAGTAGCTGCCAGCCCTCACCTCCAACACTTGTTTCACAGTATTATCTGTCCTAAAACTAGACACTATTATACCAGCATGGATCTAGAGCAGGGGTGGGCAATTATTTCGGGCAGAGGGCCACTTACCAAGTTTTGACAAGCTGTCAAGGGCCGCATTTCCCTCTCCGGCGCAGGGAAGCAGGAACAGCCCCACAGTCCCAGGCCAGAAGCCTCTGCTAAGCAGGGGCTTCTGGTTGGGGAGGCAGGGCGGGAGGGGGGCACTTGCTACTGGGTCCTGTTGCCGGCTTCCCCTGGATCCTACTGCCCCTGTCTCATGTCCTCTTTGACAGGCAGCCAGGAGAAAATAAATATTAACTTTCTAAATTTTTTAGGGGCCCCAGGGGATGGATAGAATGGCCTGGCAGGCTGGATCTGGCCCCTGGGCCATATTTTGCCCACCTCTGATCTAGAGCAATGGCAATGAACTCACTGGAATGACCCAGATTTGTTCCCACATGACAGATCAGTATCAGGGCTGTCCTTCATTTGCAAGCAATAAGGCAGAATGAGGTACCTCCTTTGTTTATTTTCTCGTCCACTCTGATGAAGACAAAGGCATGAAGGGCATGAGTCCATATGCGCTTCAGCTTGGGGAAATTTATATTAGTGCTAACGTAAGTGACAAATGTACCTAACTGCTGGGAGAGCAGGCCGGACCAGCCTTTGCATTGCCAGTGATTTCTTGTAGCACAAACTGTTTCCTGGAGCAAAAGGGTTAAACCTCATTCTGCAAACCTGCACTCATAATATTAATGTCATACTTTCCCATGAATGCTAATGAACGTAGGCGTGTGTGTTTAAAAGGGTTCCGCATTTCCTACAGAGAATCTGGAGGTGCTCTCAGTTCCCAGAGCCTGAAATCAGACGTCAAAGGCTGGCATCAACAGCTGCCTCGCTGATCCTCCTTGCATGTAAAGTAGAAACCTCAGCCTTCAGAGTTCTACCCTGAGTGACGCTTCCACACCCTGAGCTGCTTTGCATGGCTAAGCACGAACATTTCCCTGTCTGCAGGTCCCTTCCCCTGAGGAAGATGGCAGGGAAAGGGCGAGGGGTGATGGGGCTGCCCTTGGCACCGGAATGACAGCTTGCCATTAATAGCACTTGCCTCTGATGAGGATATGCAGGTACTTTCATCAATCAGCTTTAAATTAAAACTTCATTTAATTGAAGATTTATGCAGGCATGATTCCTGCAGTTCAGTCCACGATTTGAAATATGCCCCTCAGAGCCAGCAATTCCAGACACGACAACAAAAGGGGATGGAGCAGTCCGTGCTGCTGGAACGGTCTGCAGGAATCAGCTCTCATACAGTTGGCTTGATTGAATATAGGGACGTTCTGGTGACATCACAATCATTTCCATAGCAATGCACTCCAGTGTCCCAATCAGGATATTAGGAGCCGAATTCCTTGCTACCGTGAACTAATGTGCTGGCAGAGGATTTCAACCTACAGTTTCAGCTGGGACATTAAACAGAACTGAAGAGTTCTCAAAGCAGCAACAATCCTGATTTCATACAAGTGACACTGAGCAATAACGGAAATAACAGAAGGTAACCAGAGAAATACTGGACCTGATTCACCACTGCCTTCGACCTTGCCTGATCATTTACACCATGGCAAAATGGGTATAAAACATTATACGATCAAAATGGTAACACAATACACCCACTCTGCAAAGATGCAATAAGTGTGAGAGCAAAAAATGCAAGCCAGTGAAAACTCAGACTTGCCATCCTCCTTGTTCAGGGTATTCAGACACTGTCCAGTGTAATGTAACAACATTTCTAACCCAAACTTAGACTGAGAAGCAAAGTAAATTTCAGCTCAAAGGGCATTCTTTTTTAGAAACTTATTATCTCTTTATCACACCTTCTTATGCATCGTGTAACACTAGCATTATTATTGGAACTCTAATTTACTGGAAATATATTTCCCTATATATGGAATCTCTCATATAGGCTTGAAATCTTTTTGGAAAAAGTATACAGGGTCTTCTTCCACTTCAGTGTATGTTTGAATAACTTTCATTAAATGTGATAGGTGCACTATTCTCAAGCCCTAAATTGAAGATATATCCAAATCCTATCATCCTTCACCTCAGAACATCATCTCCACTGCTGCAATAAAACATATAGGATACATCAAACCACCCCCAGGAAGGTTCTCCTCTCCTTTTCCTGCTAATGATTTGAAATGATAAAGTTGTGTTACAAATCATGGGTAATTTCTTAATACACCCAGTGAATGTGTCTACACATGCATTTATGCCAGTTTAAATTTACTGCAAAGTAATTTACTGTGCAGTAAGTAGGAATAGGCCAGTGTCGACATATGCAGTCATTACAGTGCATTAAAGTTGTGTGGATTGACTTGGAACTAAAATTAATCCCAAGTCAGTCCGCACACACACAGTGTTACTGCACAGTAAGGCATCTACACGTGCATTACTGCACAGTAACTAATCAGGCGTAAATTTGATACTTGCATGATACAGATATCAAATTTATGCTCAAGCTGGCATAGGTCACCATATTTGCTGTGCAGTATGGGCATGCACATGTAAATGTGCACCTGTACTACTCAGTAATTGTGTTTACTGCTTAGTAAATGTGCATGTGTAAATGCACCCAATATGAAAGCTTCCTCTCTGTGGGGAGGAAAGGTCAGGACTTTGTTTCATATCAAGTTATAAAAAAAGAACCTCTAATTCCATCCACATTCTCCCCAGTAGACCCAGGGCCAGAACATTACCTGTTGCAAACAGTCAAGGCTACATGGAAGACCTGCCTCATAATTTTGTTTGTGACCTCATAATTCATTTTCCTGGCAAGAGTGATGGTGTCACATTCAGGGGAATCTGACTTCAATGGGGAAACAGGAGCATATGAACTGTCAGGAAGCAATGATCCTGTTTTCATGTAAATGACTGAGGTAATAGCTAAAAATAATGGAAAAGGAAGGGGAATACAGAAAATGTATGATATTTACTCTAGGCAGAATTGTTTCAGAAACTGTTCAGCACAATTGTTTTCTTTAGCGTTCCATGAAGTGTCAGCTGCTCTGTAAAGATGGATAGCAAAAATTCTATTTGAATAACTACAAATAGAGAAATTAACTGCCAGGTTGTTTTTCCTGCCTTTTCCCCAGAGCTAAAAACCTGCTGTGGGAGGCAGAGTGATGTAATTGCAGGCAGAGCATCATTTCCCAGCTGCTGGGAAGGCCTATTATGGCTTAAATTAAATATAAACACAGATGAGATAATCCATTTTATCTCTAAAGGTGGGAAAGGCCACTTCATGCCTTTCCCCAGAAGCGAGTGTTGGGCACTTTAGCAAAAATGGCATTCTTTGCTTAATAGGCCACAATCTACGTGTTCTTCCAGATAGCACTCCCATGTCAGCCCAGAGGAGCAGGACAAGGACCAGGCCCTAGCCAGCTCCCCATGTATGTTAATCAGCACTGACTGCAGTGAGCTACATGGTAAGGAGCATCAGTTTACCCAGATGAGGTTCTGCTTTCTGTAATGCTGCCTTTATTTACTTCAGTTTGACACAGCCCACAAGGTGCTTGCCTTACAGGGCTTCCTGCCACAAATTACATTACATGCTATCATTCAGGCTCCTAGCATCAAACTCACCCTCCTGCTCAGATTATCAACAATCCTTCTATTCAACAAATCATACTCCCACTGCCCAGTGTCCCCACTCCCTACACAAACATAGGAAAGAGAGCTGGTCTTTGAAGCATGACCAGGATATTAGTAAATCCAGGCTCTAATGGTCCAAGAAGAGAAGTGAATAGGGGTAGAAAGTGGAGAGTATCAACCTTTTCAGCAGCTCCCTATTGATTGAGCCAAGGGAGCTCCAGCTTTAGTATCACCACTAGTCACAGCCATGGGGCACAAGAAGAGAGAAGTTGTCTCTCAAAGACCTAGGTCCCAAACCATCTGAGTCTTTAAGGTCAGAAACATCCCTCTGCATTCCACCTGGACACTAGCAAACCAGGGCAGCTCACTAGTCACACAGTCCCGTCCCCATCGGTCAGCTCCCTTCTGGCGTCTGCCTGCAGTTTGTTGTATCTAAGAATCAGAAAGCAGGGTGCAGAAGGAAAACCGAGAAGAAACTGATTTTCAGAGGTTTTGGTGTAATGTCCCATCGCCACTTTTTGAGCCTACACACACATTTTATCACTGATTTGAGATTTGATACAGTTTGGGCCAAAACGTCAGGGCACTGCTCAAGCAAACACTGAGTCTTTTTACTTCTTTAATAATAAAAGAAAAAGCCTCCGAATTTTACATTTTATATTGCACTTATTGATCAATAGGACATGACCTGTTTTGTTATAGCTCCAACATCCTCAATCCTTTTTCAGTGCTGCCAGTAAAAACTCTCTTCATTTTTACTCTTTAAAGACTTTACTGGTCACACTTTACATTATTAAGTTTTAAGTGGTTTACAACAGGTTAAGGAATAACTATTAGGTGTTTTAATAAATGATCAATCAACTGTTATTGATTGTAGAGTCCATCAGGTCAACAGCTTGCTTGTAGCCAAGTCTTATAACCATCTATAACATCAATCGATGAACTTCTAATTATCTATTGTTCATGCTGCAGCTGCACACATCTACGATAATCTAACAATCTAAAAATCACTTATTTGCTTTTTACTATCTAAACGTAAATGGAATCTGAGGGTAAGGTGCAACTCATTTACTTTATTCTTTCTAACTATGACAATCATTGTTTCGTTACCTCTGCCACCATTTTGACAAAGTCAAACGATAGCTGGACACCCACTTTGGGATGACAGATTCACCACAGAAGAAAGTCTGGAGTGACTTGGGGTTCTGTTATTTCCGAGGCTGCCAGTAGCAAGAGAAAAGCTTTAATCTACAAATAGATGAGGCAGGAGACAATGGCAGAGTGAAGAAGCCCTGGGATTATCTATGAATGAGTTAATTAAACAAGAGAACAGTGACTGGGGAATAGCGGTGCTTGGATTAGACTTGTCTCTTTAATTAATGCCTGGAACAAATTTCCTACAGAGAAAGATAGATCAGGATTGGAGCATTACTGTAGCTTCAGTTGTAATACCTTCTATGTGCAATCAGACCTTTTGTTTCCCCTGAAGTCCCCCCTCCCAGATCTCCACTGCATGGCTACTTCCCCCATGCTCATTTAATGGAAGAGAGAGAAAATGTCATCTGAAAACTAGCCATGAGCAAAGAGGAATTTGAAAGACATAACATAGAAAAGACAGCAAGGAAAAATTAATGGGAAGGAGAAAAAAAGAAGAGGGAAAAGAGAATGGTGGGGAAAAAAGGACTGAGAAAAGAGAAGGGAGGCACACAAAGCAAAAGAAAACAGTTCTTCTCCTTCCAAAGCGTGTTTCTCAATCAATAACATGTGAAGGGAAAGGGGTGAGAAACGGCCAGATTCACATAGACATTTGCATAGTCAAAGATGCAGACAGGCGACTTCTTCATTTAGATGCTCTTGTAAATGCCACTAGACACCAATCTGCACCTTGAGGCACCTACAAATGTTTGCAAATCTGGCGCACAGAGGTGACTGCCAATGAATATTAACCTCTCCAATCATTTCACTCCATCACACTTAGCTAGGACACTGCTCTGTAGCAAACCTGAGTGCAACAAGAGGGACAAACTCCACAGCAGCCCTCAGGCCAGGATTTAAAGGAGCCTGGCACAAGAAGAAGAAATGAGATCCTTTTGACTCTCTCTCCCACCCCTATATCCACACATTCATTTCTGCTATTTCTATGGGTCTTGTGCTCGTTGTCAATGTTTCCTGTAGGGCCCAGCCTTAATGAACTGTTTCCAGAAGTGGAAAATGCTCCAGGAAAGAATTATTTTTTTCACAGAAGTAAATATTAGCTGAAGAAGGGGAATGTTTCCAGCTTTTTGTTTTCATGAAGAATATTTCCATAGCTCTGAGCAGGACACAAGTTACAAATGGCTTGGAGATGGTTTATGTTGAAAGGCACTAGGGGAGTATAACTCCAGTTGCTGGTGTTATGAGAGAGATGGGAGTGGGAGGCCTCACAGCAACTCCACCCTCAGCCAGAGAGTCTGGGATTTATCTATGAGGAGGATACAAGGAGGGGGGAAGGTACATACCAAGGAGCTGGTGTACGTTGGGTCAGAGGTGTCATCTTGCAGGTAGCGTGAGAGGCCAAAGTCAGATACTTTGCACACCAGGTTACTATTGACCAGGATGTTCCTGGCAGCAAGGTCCCGGTGCACGTAATTCATCTCTGCAAGGTACTTCATGCCAGCAGCGATCCCTCTGAGCATCCCCACTAGCTGGATTACTGTGAACTGCCCATCATTTTGCTGCAGTTACAAAGAGCAAGAACCATAATTAGCATGATCCCTTTATGGACAGGCCCAATAAACAGCTCTCTACAAGCAGAGTGTGGTCTGGTGCCTGGGACTTGCACTAGGAGACCCGAGTTCCAATTCCGGTTTTGCCACTGACGTGCTACGTAGTCATGAGCAAGTCACTATTCCTCCACACTGTTATATTCCTTCGCACTGCTAACGGAGACCACAGCCTCTCTACAGCAAGGCCTTTCCTATTTAGATAGCTATCAGGCCTAGCACAAGAGAGCCTGAATTTGGCTGAGGCCTCAAGGTGTTACATGGGTACCAACAGGGCTCTTATTCATTCATCCTGTGAATCCAATTTTTTGGTGAATCTAGTAGGAAATAAGCCAGCAAGTTGTTTTTTTAACTAACTTAGGGAGAAGATATTTTTCACAGCCTGGCTCCATTTCTGGGTTTTACTTTCCCAAGATTGAAAATCTCTCCTGGGCTCCAAATTATCTTATTTTCCTCTCTTCTTTCAATTCTTTTCCCCCTCCAAATAAAAACAGCTGAACATATATTTTGGTGGCCTGTCCTATGAATGAAACAAAACAGGACAATTTCCTTATGCCCCCAACCCACACGTCTAGGTTAGGCTGGTGCTAAAGGAAGTGCCACACTGACTCCCCATCAATAGTACAAAGCTAAAAGTTTCCCAGGAGAAAATATTACCAGTTTTACCACATGACAATCTGGCTACCTTGGTGGTGAGTGGATTGCGCCTTCATGACACAAGCCAGTTTTGAGCACCGTGTAGATTGGGCAGAAAGGACAGGATAAATACTTCTCTGCTCATAGGCTGATTCAGATGTGGGAATCTGTATCTCCAACTCTACCCTACCCGATTTGGGTGTGAGGATGTCAGCAATGGCAAGGAACAATTTATCTTCTCAGCAAGACACTGAGAGTGAAATTGCTCCTCATGCCTAGAGAGAGGTCCAAGGATTTCCTTACCTGTCTCTGCCTCCCCAACTCCTTTAACACACCCGCATAAGGGTTAGGAACAGTCCTGTTTCATTACTTGGCTTTGGTCTCTGCACAGAGTGGAAATGATGACCTACTTTGCTCTCTTTCCACGCAGCTGATGCACCAATTAGCGATGCTATTTTTACATCAAGGCTGAAATTAGACTTATAAGTTACCTGCTTCTGAGCTTAAGAAATAGAGTGGGATTTACAGGATTTGGATGCTAAATTCCCATTAACTGATTCTTTGGTTCCCTTTGAAAATCTTATTCCAAGTAGGACTCTTCCTCCCCTTCATGCTCATGCCTATTCATCACCCATTCCTCATTTATTCTCCCTCCATCTCTGTCTTTTATGCCTTCTTCCCCCAGTCTCCCAGGCTTTTTGTAGCTTTGGCTAAGCATGCCTTTGAGCTGCCTCCACAACCCTAGGTACATGGTGTAGGATGCCGGTATGAACAAGGCTGGTTGCTTTCCTTGCCCCATGAGGATTATTTATGTGTGCATTTGTCTGGTGCTTCTGTGGCTGCTGCTTTTTCTAAATGATGCTAGAGACTATAATGAGATTGGCATTGTCCACAAGGAGCCACAGGGCTGACACCTTGTCACTGACTTGCTATGGACCCTGCCAGCTGGTGCTGAAATTGCTCCAGGCTCACAACCACTTACAAAAATAGCAAGAAAACAAATAGATATATCTTTCTCTCAGACTGTGTTTATTATCCCCTGCTTTTAGATCACTTCAGTGAGCTGCCCCTATTTCAGCCCAACGTGCCGGCAATTCAGAAGTCCTCACCTTTGCTTTAGCTTCCCCAACCCTTGGCAGGCCCCTACTCCATTCACGGATCATGAAGGTGCTGGACGCTGGTAGAGCTTTCTGCCTTGGCAGGCTGATTGCCGTAGGGTGCAGCTAGCCCACTCTTCAGGTTTTAGTGCTGTTGTTATCACAGAATCATAGAAAAAAGGGCTGGAAAGGATCTATAGTTTATCTTTTCATTCACCAGCTGGCCTGTCCTTTGTGTGAATTTCTCCCCTCCATTCCTTTTGTAGTTGTATTTACAGCTACCTGCTCCTCCTGGCTGAGGGCTCTGGGGGAGATTTTCGCAAGTCCAAAAGGAATTTAGGAGCATAAGCCTCACTGAAAGGCAACAAGACTTGAGCTCCTCCCTCTCTTGGGCTTGTTTGAAAAGCTCACCCTCTGTCAATACTGATTCTTGGTTCACTCATTAGGGTCCACCTTCTACCTGAAAACCATGTCCTCCATTAATCCAAGTAGCAGAGGAGGACTCACTGGATCTTCTACATGATGTTGTGCTTCAATTCCAGCTAGCATGACTCCCTTCACTATGGTGTTAAAAACAAAGCCAGAGAGATTATAATTGTTGCTTACCCTCAGAAAGGAGTCCAGAGCTCCATTCTCCATAAACTCTGTGATGATCATGACTGGCCGGCTTTTGGTCACCACTCCTTCCAGCCGAATGATATTCGGGTGGTCAAACTGTCCCATGATGCTGGCTTCACTCAGGAAATCCCTACGCTGCTTCTCAGAGTAGCCAGCCTTTAATGTCTTTATAGCTACATAGATTTCCCTCTTGCTGGGTAGTTTCAGACGTCCTTTATACACTTCACCAAACTCCCCTGCAATTGCAAGAACATGTGTCACAACCACAGAGTAACAGTACCACGGGCTTTTCCCATCACTCCTTCCAACCTGATTGGCTGAAAAACCTGTTCAGTTCAATAGTGGTCTCCTCTCACAAATCTGCTGGTTTCCTCCCCTTTCAAAGGGGAAGTGCCACAGGCCCCTGGCAGATGTTCAGTTAAAGGCGCAATGGGATCTGAACCATGATCCCAACAATTGCACCTCCTGTCATGCCACACATGCATGGCAGGAAGCACAACTGTGGGATCAGGCATCAGATTCCAGTTGGACCCTATTGCTGGTGCAGGTTCAGGGGCTAAGAGATTATGAATACTTAGATATTTTCCTAAATCTAAACTGCTATAATTCATAGAATCATAGAGAAGCAGGGCTGGAAGGGATCTCCAGGGGACACCTAGTCCAACCCCCTGCCTGAAGCAGGATCATCCCGATCTAAACCATCCCATACAATCCATAATCTAAACTCTTCATAAAACTACCGTCAGCCCTGACATAATTTGATGCCATTCACTTTCATATTGCATTTTCTTCATCTTGGACAGTGCAAATAAGCCTGTCAGTTTCACTTCAATTTAGAATCAAGTTTAACTTTCTGGTTGGCATGTGACACACTGAGACAATGCTGTCTGTCTTTGGGGCCAGAGATCTACCAGCAAAAGTTTGCATTCAAAACACCTAGGGTTCAGTTATCCATTCATCCATCCACCCATCCAATACGGCTCTCTAATATGTGTGTGAGTGAGTGAGTGAGTGAGTGAGTGAGTGAGTAAAAACCATTAGAGTTGTTAAGAAAGTCTTTCATCAAAACCCTTTTTTCCCCCCCACAAAAAATTAGATCTTGGAAGTGGGGAGAGGGGAACAAAAATTGAGTCTCTTTTTCTTGAAAATTTTTGATTTAGGAACAGAAAATGAAAACCCTGAAACGTGAAAACATCTGGCTGCTGCAAACTATTATTTTCCATATGGTGGTTTTTAAATATGGTGTCAAAATGGATGGTTCATGTTTGAGTTAGCTTTATGACTGCTTTGAATTGATAGAAAACTACCAAGCAGCCAATGCACTGCTGTGTCTAACTTCAAAGGCATAACAATTCAATTTTCCTTTGAATTTCTTATACTGGCTATTCTTTTCCACCAGCATAATACAATTGTTTAAAAATAACACCAGGAATGCTATAAATGATATGAATAGCTTCTATCTACCTACCTACTTACCCACGTACCTGTACATCTGAAATAAGACTAAAAAGAGATGTCTGTCTTTGTCTTGTTATTTCCTGGAAGCTAAACCAGGAAACTTAAAAATGCATGAAGATCAATCAGTGAGTAAATTAACCAAACTTCGTCTTTTTTAGGCAAATGCATGACTGTTCTTATTTTAACAAATGAGTGAACAGATTGATACCAAGAGAAGGGTTGAAGCCCATGAAGAGATGGAAAGAGGAGGAAGCAGTAGCTGTGGAGAAAGTTGAAGAAGCTTATCTAGGACAAAATGAGACACACCTGCTCCAATGACTTCTTCAATCTTCACGAAGGACACGTCAATCTCCTTGGCAAACTCGCGGACAGCCTCATTTGGGTCTTCATAAGTGAAGGGATCAATGTAGATCTTCATTCCTGGAGAGCCTTGTTATACGAGATATGGGAGGGGCAGTCACAGAGGGAGAATAAAGAGAGTACTGAAGCTGAGGGGAAGGGTTTCAGAAGCATCCTACATCTTTCTGACACTTTCCTCATTACATGTCCATTAAAAACATATTCCTCTTAGCTCCTCTACTTCTCTCTCCATATTTTCTCCACCCTTTCCAGACCCCACTCGACTCTTCCTCCATTACACTATTTTCTTTTACTGCTCTATCCTCCATTTCTCCTCCATTAGCTTTTCTCTTACTCCTCTCCTGGAAATGTAGAATATATTACTTATAAGTTGACAGACTGAGACCAGTCCAAACAGTGCACATGAGAACTTGGATCGTGCCATTATTTATTGAAGTCATACCAAATGCATTAGAAACAAAATCAAGGTAGAATTGCAGGTAGATATCAATATTTATCAGTTTGACACCTTTTGGGGGCTAGAGGCTATTGTTAAGGTTATCTCAGGCAACTGTGGATTAATATTGTAAGTGCTAGATAAAAAGGGAAAAACAAAAGGAGAAAAACAGCAATGGGGGACAGAATAACTGAAGAAAAGGAGAAAAAAGGTGAGGAAGAAGTAAGTTTTATTTTAACCTTTCTGAGTTACAAAATGCTAAAAAGAAAGAAAAGACAGAAGAAAATAAGAAAGAGCAATAGAGAAAGAAATCTAAAATACAACATAGATCCATAGACAGGCAAATGGATGCACATGTGGGAGGTATTACATTACTGCTTACTGTCCTTGCATACTCCAGATTTTCCCTCACCCTGTATTTATCTATTTTGACTGTAATCCTTTGAGGCAAGGTCCCTGTACTACTACTCTGGCTTTTGTGCAGTGCTCAGCACCAGTGGACCCATTCTGGCTTAGTCCCTAGACACTGTTGCAATAAACAAGATTAATAATAGATATGTAAGAAGAGAAGTTTCCCAGCAACATACATCCATACAGTCAAACCAACAGACTGATGGACAGAACAGTCTTCAATATTTCAAGACAGAAATGACACTATCCCCAGCCCTGACAGTTCAAAATTCATGACAAAGGCATGAATTAAAGCCATGAACTAAAATCATGAAATAACTGGGCTTCTTTCTATTTCTCTTCTAGTTTCCAAATCTGTTGGTCCAAAAAATAAGGACAAAGGTCCACTCAAGTCTAGGTGGCCCATTGTACTAGCATGATAAGACCATGCCATTTTATGTAGCCAACGGCACACAATGGAGTGATGTGACTCCCATCTCATCCATCTCCGTTTGATTGTCAGCCTGAATAACCATCCCATTTACAACTGAGTCTGCTGTGCAGGGTGGCCTTTGGTGCAAGTTCAGCATGAGGTCTTGAACTTGCTCCACCTTCATGCTTCTTTGAATGCATCCTCAACATCACAGTTCAGTAGCATGGGCTAGGAACTCTACTTAATTTTTAAGAAAAGCTGAGATTCTCACGAAGTAACAGGGCTCCAGGAGCTAAGACTTTATGTTGGAGAAACAGCATGTTAAAATCAAGAGAGACAGCAACCCTGAATGTCTTTCTTCAGTGCTCTGTTGGAGGTGTCATTCACTCCCAGAGGTTTTTGGTCTACGCCAGACAACTTAGAGCTGCAGCTTCTTAAGTAAATACATAGCAAGAGGTTTTCTCCATGCCGTCTCCTGTTTATATTGAACATTCAGCTCACAGGGGTGCAGTTACAAACCAAAACTACAATTAGCTGGTTTTATGGTAAGGAAAGTGGCAAGTTTATGATGCTGCATGCATAATTTAAGAAATATTTATTTACCCAAAAAGGACTTTGATAGTTTTGTGGCTGCTACTAAATTGATAAAGTGTAGCAATTATAATCAAAAACCTGAATGGTCTGATAAAATATGGTCTACAGGGTTGCCATAGCAAATAGTCAGGCATTATTTTTGCCTACTAAAAAATCATTCCAAGGTCTCTCACATCACGGCTGCCAAGATGCAGCCAGACAATGGTAGATTTTGTAAGGCGCTGGAGAGAGATGTGGAATCTGCCTCCGGGAGTCAGGTCAGGCTGTGCTCCTGTTACTATACATGTTAAAAAGAGAAACAACATTCTTATGGCCCAGGGATGGAAATGACATTAATGATGGCTTCTCACATGGCATTTCCTCTCCTTTGGTACCCATTAACCAATGGAAAAAAAATGAGTCTGCTAAGCACTATTGAAATAAAGCAATCAAAAGGTGTTTTTCAGAATGAACTCCTGTACGTCTGGACAAGAGAAGTGGGCAGCACCGCTGCTCCCCAGGTGACAGGCCCTATTTGCAGATGCTCTTCTCTAATTATACACATTTAGTAACATGTCAGTCCTGCATTATTCCTCAGAGTGATAGCATCAAATAATAACATTTCCTGGTAGCTCAATTCAAATTCTCCTTTCCCTTAGAGCTCATGGAGGGGTAGGGGACCTGCCATAGAAATATTTCCAGTGGCTGGAAGTCAAAGAGGCTCTGTGGCTGACCACCTCTTCTCCTCCTGCCTACGTCTGTCTAATTAGACTAAGTTATCTGCAGTAGAGACTGTCTCCTATCACTTGTCACTACAGTGTTTAGTCCCATGTGGCCCTGCTCCCACATAGGGCCTCCAGCTAATGTAATCTTTTAAGGACAGTGGTTTTCAATCTTTTTTCATTTAAAGACCCCTAAAAAATTTTGAATGGAGGTGCGCACCCTTTTGAATTGTATGTGTGGGTATTCATATACTTTTGATTAATCATAGTCTTCTTTCATGGATGCCTTAGACACAGTCTAAGGACCCCCAAGGGTCTGCAAAGCCAGATTGAAAACCACTGTATTAGGAACATGAAGAGGTAACAACTCACTGGGTGCATCTACATGAGCTATTAATGCAGCTCTATAAAGTCTGGTGCAGTTCATGCCAGAGTCAGCTGTTCCTGGGTGCAGCGTCTTCATGGGTACCCGAGACCGCAGCAGTTTGAGTTGGGAACTGGAAGCAGGATCAGGGGGTCAGCCCCGGGCTCCGAGTGGCAGCGTGAGGCAGTGGAGGGGCTGCCTGGGACACAAGAATGCCGAAACTGTGGAGCCGTGTAGCTGAGCCCCTGAGCCTGCTACCAGCCTCGGGGCTGCTCCACTTCGACTCAAATTCCTGCGGTCCGGGTCAATGTCTCCATGTGTGTTTCTGCACAGTAAATGATTCCACCATATGACAGTACTGTTTCTGGCACTACTATCTTATGGCAGAGTTCACTAATATACAGTGCCATTATACTGGATCACGTGTAGATGGTGATGCTTTACCGTGGAGCTCATCAGTCAACTCTGCAGTAAAGCGCACAGATAGATGCATTCACTGACCCCAAAGTTGGGACATATACTCTTTTTTTCTTTTCCCCCCCTTTAATTTTCTTTCTCTGTCCCCACCTCTTTTAAATCCCTCCATACCCATCTCCTCCTTTCCATGACCATCTCTTTCCTGGTTTCAATCCATTTTGTTCTGTTTCAGTCTCTGAAATTTTAACACATTTCTGACCCACTCTTGCCTATCCTTCTCTAAGTCCCTGTTAAGAACAGGAATGGATGCATTCCACTGATAAAGAGCTTTGCATGTGATGGGGCTGGTCGTCTCAGCTAGTTACCACGGGACTAAATGGGTGCTGCTTGCTATTATCTCACTGAAAATAATGAGGTATGCATTAGTAAAATAAGGCTTCCCCTTTCATTTCAGCTAACCTCAGCCCTCAGCCTACTGCTTTCCTTCTACCTCCTTCTCCCTCAATTGCAGGGGAGTCCAGCCACAATGAAAGGCTGGGAGGGGAATGGGGCATTAAGGATTTACTATGGCTGGCTTAATTGGGTTAAGTGATATGACTCTAAACAAAATTTATCTCACCTGACCCTCACTGCCTGTGTGATGTTCAGTATCATGACAGCCAATTTCATTCAACCCATCCCTGTTCACCCCCAGTACACTCTGCAGTGTGAATAGCTGGCACTGCTACAGGATGTGGGGGAGGAGGTCCCTTCCCCACAGCTTCCAGGGGGATGGCATGAGGGGCACACTCAGAAAGGATGCAGCCTTGCAATAGGTAGGGGACACCATAGCCTTTTGAGGCAGGTGATGAAACAATCTGTGCTACCATTCTCCAAAAGGGAAGGTGTTTCAGGACTTAGTTATCATCCCACTGTCTGCAGGGACTGGCAGAAGGGACAATCTGGTGACTGCTTGGGAAACACTGCACCTTGCCTGGAGACTGCATACACAGATGCACATACATGAGGCTCCTAGGTCCCCTCAAGCTCCTGCAGTGGAAGTTAAGCCTAGCCATCCATTACATTCAACCTTAGCCATCAGTTTGCCTCCCTCTACCTTCCCAAGACTTTCGTGTTAAGGGAAAGGATGACACATGGGGCCACATCCTATTCCACCTAGTAGATGCCTAAGTGAGATCCTATTCCACCCTTCTCAAGTCCCTGAAAAACCATTCATGGAAAAGGTGGATGGGTCCCCTCTTTTTCCTACTTTGCGTGACTCAATTTTAATGTTAAGATGAGGTTGTGCTACAAAAATAGATGCACTGGTAGTTTTTCAGGCACTCAACCAGGTTGGAAAAGGATGATGCTTAGAGCCCTGCAGTGGAATAGGATCTGGCCCATCATGAATTTTTTTTAATTATTTTTTCTTTTAAGGACAGATCCTTTGGGAGAGGGGAGGAACATCTGTCCTCTCCTTTCCTGCCACTCCTGCTCTTGCTACTTCAACCCCCAGTACCTACCTATCCTCAATCCTTCACTTGAAGGTACTGGGACTGACCCAGCCAGCAGAGGTATCAGCTAACTGTCTCCATTGGGTGTCCTCCCACTTCCATTGAGACTGTATGGTTTTCCAGTCTGCAAAGTCTTTGTGGCAAGTCTACACCTCAAAATCTGTTAAATGGGCAGAAGATCTGTGAAAGCAAGGGTCTCCAGATGATTATTTCCAGACTCTGCAGGAAGGGAGAGACCTTC